TGCAGTCAGCATGCCAATTGCACGCTCCCACAAAACTTGCGACATCTGTGGCATTGTGCTGTGAGATGGAACTGCACATTTTCGAGTGGCCTTTTATTGTGGCCAGTCTAAGGCACACCTGTGCAATACCCAGGCTGTCTGATCAGCATCTTGATATGCCACACTTTTGAGGTGGATGGATTATCTCGGCAAAGGAGAAGTGCTCACTAACACAGATTTTGACAGATTTGTGAACAATATTTGAGAGAAATAGGCCTTTTGTGTACATAGAGAAAGTCTTAGATCTTTGAGTTCAGCTCATGATGAATGGGGGCAAAAACAAAAGTGTTGCGTTTATAATATATATTAAACACTGTATTGATTTATGTGGTTAGACCTCCGACCGCTCTATAGCAGTGTTGTAAACTGATAAATACAGATCTGACTGTTCTGGTTGCATTTAAAAGTCAACTTTTTTTTACTTTACTCCTAAGATGGTGTGTTCTTTATACTATGATTTTATATATTAAATAGCAATATATCACAATACACAATACATGTGAGTCGTAACACCTGTATGCCTCCAAGCAGTTGTGGCTCAGAGGTAGAGCGGATCGTCCACTAGTTCGATCCCCGGCTCCTGTCTGCCGCTTGTCTATCCTTAAGCAAGATACTGAACCCGAAATTGTTCCCGATGCTGTGTCATTGGTGTGTGAATGTGTATGAATGAGTTAGTCTCTGTTTGATGGGCTTTGCCATCTCTGTGTGAAAGGGTGAATGTGGCTGTAGTGTAAGAGTGCTTGGACTGAGTGGTACAGGTCAATTTACCGTTATACATATTGAGTCTTGCCGATGCTCAGTCGACATGAATAACCACGAATGACATCAAAATAGTATCTGTGCAGTTTCCTGTGTGAAAGGAAGGTTTTAATTTATGAACATGGTATATGTGTTAATGTAGTTCATTTAATGCACTGTACCATTGTGTGAGATGTGTTTAATGAAGCTTGAAGTCTTATCTTGCAAGAGACAGCTGATACAGCGAGGGAGAGCGCAGTGACTGCACTTACTGCAGTGGTTGGATTAAGTGGGATAGTTACTAACATTTTTACATTATGTTTCTTTAGAATAGAACGAGATAAAACAGACATTGTAAAGTTCAGTTTAAGTCATAACTCAGTTTTGACCAAAAAGGGCTGTATAGTCCAAAACCACCTTTGTTAAGCCCAAGACCAGGACCAGTCGAGTCCACATGAGAGACAAAAAGTCAACACAGAAAAAACGGTAGTGAGATGAGTTTTTAAATGTCAGTATTCATTTTATGTGGATTTTAAATTTAGTTAACCCAAAACCAGTTTTATGAACAAGCTTAATCAGTGGTTTCACTTTGAAGGAGGAAGTTACTTCAGAAAAATAACACATATCTGGACTCGGTCGAGAATATTTGGTGATTCCCACGAGTCAGACACTCTTATAGTTTCATCTTGTTAAAAGTTAAAAGAAGACAAACAAGATAAGGTCCTGTGCTGTTTGCTCTGTTTGAGCTCAGAGTGATGGATGAATGGATGAGTTGCTGAATGGATGAATGGATGAATGGATGAATGGATGAGTGGATAAGTGGATGAGTGGATGAATGGATGAGTGTGGGACTCACCGAGCAGCACAGACACAGATGAAGCATTCATGTTGTCTGGATGTGGACTGTCAGTCCGTCTCAGCAGCAGAGAACTTTCAGCCACTTCTTGTTTAACACTTGGTGTCATTCTGCCCCCACAACTTCACACCTCTGTGAATCCCTCCTCCTCCACCACAGTGACGACTCTCTGCCTTCAAGAGAGGGATGTCAACGGGCTCTTTAAGAGGCAGAACCCCCAGAAAGCAGCCGGACCAGACTCTGTCTCTCCATCCACCCTGAAGCACTATGCTGGTCAGCTGTCTCTGGTGTTCACCGGGCGTCCACCACGGGCGCCCGGTTAGCTCAGTGGGTAGAGCTGTGTGATCCACTTGGGGAGGACATCAATGCCATGACAGACTGCATAACAGACTACATAAACTTGCTTTGAGAACACTGTTCCCTCCGCGGTGGTACGGTGTTTCTCCAATAACATGCCGTGGATTAACCCTGATATTAAAGCTCTGCTGAAGGAGAAGAAGATGGCTTTCAGATCAGGGAATAAGGATGAGCTGAGGACCGTACAGAAGGAACTGAGGAGGAAGATCAGGGAGGGAAAGGCCAGCTACAGGAGGAAGAAGGAGGAGCAGCTGCAGCGGCAGAACATCAGAGGGGTGTGGAGAAGCCTGGAAACCATTTCGGGACAAAACACTACAGAACACCCCATGAACAGGTTGAGGGGGATCGACAGTGGGTCAACGATCTAAATCTACATTTCAATAGGTTTGATCAAGCACCCACTCCTCCCCCCATGCAGACGGTCCCTCACTTGCTGACACTTGGCTTATGCCCTCCTCACTCAGCACCTCACACCTCTGGCTCATCAGACGATACAACCACTTAACACCAAGATGGAGCCACTCATCCCCCACCCCTGTCCTTCACAGCAGACCAGGTGAGAAAAGAGCTCAGGAAGATAAAAGCGAGGAAAGCAGCTGGACCGGATGGTATCAGCTCCAGGCTCCTTAAGTCCTGTGCAAACAAACTGTCTGGAGTTATGGAGCATGTCTTCAACCTGAGCCTTGAGCTGAGAGTGGGACCACAGATTTGGAAGACCACATGCGTGGATCCGGTGCCTAAAACATCGCACCCTAAAGACCTCAGCAGCTATAGACCGGTGGCTCTAACATCTCACCTGATGAAGACACTGGAGAGACTAATACTGGGACATCTCCGCTCCGAGGTGGGTCCCTCCATGGACCCACTACAGTTTGCCTACCGTCCTAATGTTGGAGTGGAGGACGCTGTTATCTTCCTGCAACACTGAGCTCTCTCTCACCTGGAATCTCCCCTTACCTTATCTCATTTTATCTTAACAGCATGTAATCAGCAGTCACCAACAGAAACCAACATGGGGCCAGAACACCGAACTGGAGGCTTCAAACCAGGACTCCACAGAATGTATGGAAGCCCATTTCTGCCAATGTGACAAAAGAAAAAACATTCTGTAAGTCATTTTAATGAGAAACTGTCTCCTTATGTAGATACTAAGTCATTACTTTGAAGAAGTGTCTCGTTATAATAACTTACAGAAACGGCCACCAAGCAAAACGTTTAAACTGAAACCCTCTTGTCTACACAAGCGCACTGCCCCTTTAAGTCACGTTTAATTTAATTTAAAGTCCAGTTCAGACCAAAAATTCCCGACCAGACGAAGCAGTTCTAGGATTAGTTGCAGTGGTGTGAACTGGTTGCCTCAGCTTGAGTCAATTCAGCTGACAGCTTCGCTAACTCAGGTCTTTTCTTAATGTTCTTGTCAGTGTTTGAGTATGGTCACTGTGGTTAAGTGTGTGCTGGTATCGGATGCACTGAGCATGCTAACAGTGGTCAGGATGCACAATAATGGCAGAAAAACTCCTGCAGCTGCTGTTCAGTCAGAAACAAACAGGAAACACACTGTGAACATGAAACAACAAAGAAAACAACCTCATTGTCACAACCTCTGACACAATATAGGTGGACCCAAATGCATGACTCTGGCACAGACGAAGATGAAGAAAAATAATTATTTTAATTTATCAACAAAAGGTGCTCTCAAGGAGGATATCAAAGTACAAACAAAACTCAAACTTCAGTTGAAACATGAAATAACCTGAACACTGAACTGGAACACTTGACGATACTCATTAACCTACTGAACAAGACGAACTGACAGAGACAAGGACTATTTACACTAGGTGTAAGTGAAAACAGGTGAAAACAGTCAGGGGCGGAGCAGACAATTACAAAGGCAGGAAAATCACACAAAGGGAGGAAGTCAGGGTTTGAATAGTGAGGGAGAAGGTGAGTACAAAATAAAACATGAAGGACTAAACATGAAACACTTAACATGAGCATGACTAAAATTAACACACTTGACAAGACACAACCTCATATGTTGTAAAGAGAAACAGGAATAAATAGACAGATGAGAGTGAGACAACATGAGGCAGCTGCATATGTCCAATGTGTCCAAATACACTGATTTACCCTGGTTTATTAAATGTGTATTTATATTTTGGGTCCTGAACGAGGAACAGGGCTCACAAACATTATTGTGGCTCATCATTTAAACTCTGAATATAAATATATCTGACCTATATAATAATCTATATTGTGGAAATCAATAAACTGTTTTATTCAGAAATCTTCAATCCTTTTTTCATTAAACCGAAACAGATCACAGAGTCTATAACAGATGTGTTAACAGTGTTAATCTCACTGCATGTGGGTGAACCCACTAAGCCTCATACAGGAAACAACATAAAGAACAAATAGTCTCTTTGTTTTAAAATGACTTCTACGGTCTACCGTCAATGACAGTAAAAGACTGTAAACTCTAAAGAAGTTTCTGTACCAGTAAAGCACTGTGATATCTCATGGTAAATCCTTTATACAGCATCCATATGGTATTTTTCTATATGGTAAAATGGTTTCTTTTGAAAGTAAAAACCTAATATGCTTTTACCAGAAGAGTACTTCAGTATTTATCACGGTAAAGTTCTGGCTGCCAGTTTTTAATAATAACAACATCCATCAACAGTTCGTCCAGTGCAGGAAAACATACGTTGTACATTTGAGGGACATAAAAAAGGATATTATATAATCAGATTGTATGTTTTACAGTAATTAAGGATTATTCAATTTGTGTTCTAAAAAAATACTATTGCTCCATTGATCTCTATTAAAACAATAAAGTATAGTATATATAAATATATTATATATAACTGCTCTGTATTGTTTCTGTCTCTATTTATACCCTTTGTTGTTTAAGCACAAACAGTCTGAGGATGTTTGGGTCTACCTCCTGAGCAGCAGGGGGAGCCATCAGTCTGTCTGTGCTGATCTGGTTTTACTTTCACTTTCATAAACCAGCTCCAGTGATAAACCAAAATCCTCAGCAGACTGAAACTGGACCTGACTCACGTCTGGACAAATCTCCCTGAGCTCAGGTGAAAACCTGCATGTGAATATGTATTGATTATTGATATGTATTGATTATTGATATGTATTGATTATTAATATGTATTAGGGATGTGCATTTCAGGCAAAAGTACTATTCGATAATCGTGGGGTACTAATTGATTAATATTCGAATATTAATCTAATAATACCCTCCCCCCTCGCTCAGAAAGAGATCCGCCAAGATTTTTCAGAACTCTGTCTTTTTATTTTGACAGTGGTGTAATTCACAGCACAACATTATAGAACTGTTACACTGAACACATAGTGTGGTGACTTCAAGCAATAATAATATTTTACTGAACAACTGAACATACCTGAGAGACAGCATTGCTGACGTGAACATTTTTAACATGCCCGCCCGTCTTCATAATCCGAGCAATGGTTTATGACTGCAGCCTATTACATGTTTTTATTTAGAAAGATGAGCATGTCCGCATGCTCGGGATGAAGACGGGAGCGAAGTCTATTTACAATAAGTCCCGCCGTGGAAAACACCCTCTCCGACGGCACAGATGTGGCGGGCACACACAAGTATGCACTCGCTAATTTTGCCAGTTGGGGATATTTGTTTTCGTTAGTTTTCCACCAGTCCATGGGATCGATCTGTGGGGATGGACATTTGTCCTTGCAGTAATGTTTCAGTTCAGTCTCGGTGTCTGTTGTTTCTTTATAATAATCCTCACCAAACAGGGCAGCAATAGAGTATTGTCACAGCTCTATTGAGCCACATATCCCCATAAACTTAAGTAGCAATGACTTCATAAGTTTCTTCTATAATAAAATTATTACTATTAGAGAAAAAATTAATCACCAACTGCCATCAACAGTTACCAGTGGCTCTCCAAGTTCAGGGACTTCTGTCAATGTAAACTTAGATGTATATTTAGACTGTTTTTCTGCTATCGATCTTCATCAGTTAACTTCAATCATTTCTTCATCGAAGCCATCAACCTGTCTATTAGACCCGATCCCAACTAGGCTGCTAAAGAAGTTGTTCCCTTAATTGGCACTTCTTTACTGGATATGATTAATCTTTCTTTATTATCAGGATATGTACCACAGTCCTTTAAAGTAGCTGTAATTAAACCCCTTCTTAAAAAGTCCACTCTTGACCCAGGGGTTTTAGCCAACTATAGACCGATTTCTAACCTCCCCTTCCTCTCTAAGATTCTGGAGAAAGTCGCCAAAGAGTTGTGTGACTTTCTACATAACAATAGTTTATTTGATGATTTTCAGTCAGGATTTAGAGTTCATCATAGCACAGAGACAGCTCTGGTTAAAGTTAATAATGACCTTCTGACTGCTTCTGACAATGGACTTGTCTCTGTACTTGTATTATTAGATCTTAGTGCTGCATTTGACACCATTGACCATAATATTCTTTTAGAGAGACTTGAGCATCAAATTGGCATTAAAGGAACCGCACTAAGCTGGTTTAAGTCATATTTATCAGATCGCTCGCAGTTTGTACATGTTAACGATGAATCTTCAATAAATACTACAGTTAGTCATGGAGTTCCACAAGGTTCTGTACTTGGACCAATACTATTTACTTTATATATGCTCCCTTTAGGCAACATTATTAGGAATCACTCCATTAACTTTCACTGTTATGCAGATGATACGCAGTTATATCTATCAATCAAGCCCAATGAAATTAATCAATTATCTAAATTACAAACATGTCTTAAGGACATAAAATCCTGGATGACCTGCAATTAAACTCAGAAAAAAACTTAGAGACTCACTGTCTAAAGATATAGTTAGTCTAGATGGCATTAACTTGGCCTCTAGCACCACTGTCAGGAATCTGAATTCAGAGAACGTAGTGTTCTAGTGGGGTAATAGGGTACTATGAGCTCTTTAAGATATGAAGGGGCCTGACCATGAACAGCTTTATAGGTGAGGAGGAGGATTTTAAATTCAATTCTACATTTTACAGGGAGCCAATGCAGAGAAGCTAGTACAGGAGAGATGTGATCTCTTTTTCTAGTTCCTGTCAGTACTCGTGCTGCAGCGTTCTGAATTAATTGGAGCGTTTTAATGGACTTATTGGGGCAACCTGATAATAAAGAGTTGCAGTAATCCAGCCTTGAAGTAACAAATGCATGGATTAGTTTTTCTGCATCTGTCTGTGATAGGATGTGTCTAATTTTTCTAATATTACGTAAATGAAAGAAGGCGGTCCTAGAGGTCTGCTTTATGTGGGAGTTAAATGACAAATCCTGATCAAAGATAACTCCAAGATTCCTGACAGTGGTGCTAGAGGCCAAGTTAATGCCATCTAGAGTAACTATATCTTTAGACAATGAGTCTCTAAGGTTTTTGGGGCCAAGAACAAGAATTTCGTTTTTTTCTGAGTTTAACATCAGAAAATTGCAGGTCATCCAGGATTTTATGTCGTAAGACATGTTTGTAATTTAGATAATTGATTAATTTCATTGGGTTTGATTGATAGATATAACTGCGTATCATCTGCATAACAGTGAAAGTTAATGGAGTGATTCCTAATAATGTTGCCTAAAGGGAGCATATATAAAGTAAATAGTATTTGTCCAAGTACAGAACCTTGTGGAACTCCATGACTTACTGTAGTATTTATTGAAGATTCATCGTTAACATGTACAAACTGCGAGCGATCTGATAAATATGACTTAAACCAGCTTAGTGCGGTTCCTTTAATGCCAATTTGATGCTCAAGTCTCCCCAAAAGAATATTATGGTCACTGGTGTCAAATGCAGCACTAAGATCTAATAATACAAGTACAGAGACAAGTCCATTGTCAGAAGCAGTCAGAAGGTCATTATTAACTTTAACCAGAGCTGTCTCTGTGCTATGATGAACTCTAAATCCTGACTGAAAATCCTCAAATAAACTATTGTTATGTAGAAAGTCACACAACTCTTTGGCGACTTTCTCCAGAATCTTAGAGAGGAAGGGGAGGTTAGAAATCGGTCTATAGTTGGCTAAAACCCCTGGGTCAAGAGTGGACTTTTTAAGAAGGGGTTTAATTACAGCTACTTTAAAGGACTGTGGTACATATCCTGATAATAAAGAAAGATTAATCATATCCAGTAAAGAAGTGCCAATTAAGGGAACAACTTCTTTAAGCAGCCTAGTTGGGATCGGGTCTAATAGACAGGTTGATGGCTTCGATGAAGAAATGATTGAAGTTAACTGATGAAGATCGATAGCAGAAAAACAGTCTAAATATATATCTAAGTTTACATTGACAGAAGTCCCTGAACTTGGAGAGCCACTGATAACTGTTGATGGCAGTTGGTGATTAATTTTTTCTCTTATAGTAATAATTTTATTATAGAAGAAGCTCATGAAGTCATTGCTACTTAAGTTTATGGGGATATGTGGCTCAATAGAGCTGTGACTCTCTGTCAGCCTGGCTACAGTGCTGAAGAGGAACCTAGGGTTATTCTTATTTTCTTCTATTAGTGCTGAGTAATAGGCTCCTCTGGCATTACGGAGGGCCTTTCTATAAATTTTAAGATTATCTTGCCAATTTGAGCGATATTCTGATAATTTGGAAGAGCGCCATTTCCTTTCAGATTTTCTAGCTATTTGCTTTAACTGGCGGGTTTGGTGGTTGTACCACGGTGCTAGTCTCCTATGTTTTAATAATTTCCTTTTTATAGGAGCGATAGAGTCTAATGTTGATCGTAGTGAGCCTGTAGCACTATCGACAAGATTATCAATTTCAGAGGGACTAAAGTCATTATAGGACTCTGTTAAATTCAGACATGGCATTGAATTAAACACTGAAGGAATCTCCTCCTTAAATTTAGCTACAGCACTGTCAGATAGACATCTGCTGTAGGAAGTTTTGCCTAATGGCTTATAATCTAATAGTATGAATTCAAAAGTTATTAAATAATGGTCAGATAGGAAATGATTATGTGGGAAGACTATTAAATGTTCAATATCAATGCCATATGATAAAACAAGGTCAAGAGTGTGATTAAAACAATGAGTTGGTTTATTTACACTCTGACAGAAGCCAATTGAGTCTATTTATGATATAAATGCATTACTAAGGCTGTCATTGTCAACATCCACATGAATATTAAAATCACCTACAATAATTACTTTATCTGATTTAAGGACTAAGCTTGATAGAAACTCTGAAAATTCTGATATAAAATCAGAGTACGGTCCAGGAGCACGGTACACTATAACAAATAGAACTGGCTGCAGTGTTTTCCAGTTTGGGTGAGAAAGGCTAAGAACAAGGCTTTCAAATGAATTATAATTTAGTTTAGGTTTAGGGTCCATTAAAACGCTCGAATCATATATGGCTGCCACTCCACCTCCTTGGCCTGTGCCTCGAGGAATGTGAGTATTAATATGACTGGGGGGGGGTGGATTCATTTAGGCTAACATACTCCTCGTGGGACAACCAGGTCTCAGTAAGACAAAGTAAATCAATATCATAGTCTGATATTAATTCATTCACTAAAACAGCTTTAGAGGACAGAGACCTGATATTTAACAGCCCACATTTCATTCTCTTATTTTGTGCTACTGAGGAGTTGGTTTTAATTTTTATTAGATTTTTATGTTTAACTCCTCTTGTTTTTATTTCTTTAAATAATTTAGGTGGTCGGGGGACAGACACAGTCTCTATGGGGTTTTGGGTGGGTGACTGTTCTAAAGAAAGAGCAGAGAAGTGTGTAAGACAGCAGCTCTGCTTCCTGGTCCTAACTCTGGACTGTCAGGTTTTAGAAATAAACTTTGCCATATTTCTAGATAAGAGAGCCGCTCCGTCCAAAGTGGGATGGATGCCGTCTCTCCTAATCAGACCAGGTTTTCCCCAAAAAGGCTTCCAGTTATCAATGAAGCCCACATCGTTTGCTGGACACCACCTCGACAGCCAGCGGTGGAATGACGACATGCGGCTATACATGTCATCACTGGTCACATTGGGGAGGGGTCCAGAGAAAACTACGGTGTCCGACATTGTCTTAGCATAATTACACACCGACTCCACATTAATCTTAGTGACCTCCGATTGGCGTAAACGAGTGTCATTACCGCCGACGTGGATAACAATCTTACTGTATTTACGTTTACCTTTAGCCAGCAGTTTTAAATATGATTCAGTGTCGCCCGCTCTGGCCCCAGGGATACATTTAACTATGGCCGCTGGCTTCACTAACTTCACGTTTCTGACTATGGAGCTGCCAATAACCAGAGTTGGTTCCTCAGCGGGTGTATCGCTGAGTGGGGAAAATGTATTAGAAACGTGAAGGGGTTGGTGGTGACCTGTGGGCTTCGCCGTTTTAGTCTTCCTTTGCTCAGTCACCCAGCCTCCATGTCTTCCCGGCTGCTCGGGAACTACCGGGGGATCTACAGATCTAACAGAAGCATCAGTTCTTATATTTTTGCAGATAACACACATAGCACAAGATGGTATAATCTCCACCCCTTGTCCTCTTGGTATCTTGTCTCCACGGATGGTGTTGATGGGGTCGCCACAACCTGGAACTTATTAAAAACAGAAAGCGGCCTCTTTTCTGATATTCAGTGACGTGTTATCTAACCCTACGCACATATTAATCAAACCTATGTCTACACTTTCTACTCTCTCTTCCAGATATGAAGTTGTTTTTTACGACTGGAAGGAGTCCGTCATGTGTTCTATCATTGTTTCTTACGGGCTCCTGTAACACATCATACAAACATCTAATATTCATTACTTTATTTCTGTTATTAGTATTCCCTTAACAGCCCTTTATTAATGTAAGCATAATCAATGTAAGCCCAAGTAAACATATTTCTATTCTAGTTAATAATCATACAGTTAAAAGTGGAGTATAAATCATAGAATATCGCAACACTCGCGTAATTTTCTTTTCATACATGTCTGTATGAGCATTGTGGGAGAGAGTTTCACTGTAATTGTTGTTGTGCATAAAACAATAAAGCACTTGAATAATGTTGAGATGGAGCTGAATTTCACTGGCCGTTAACAATATACCACTTTAGAAACATATAATATATTTTCTGTAGCTTAAAATGGAAATATCCACGTACTTAAGTCGTAAGTCATAAAAGAGTGATTAAAACATTTAGAAAAACGCAACTTGAGGAAAACAGTCAGTCCACTGAAGTCAATTCAAGTTTTAGAGAAAACTCTATAAACGCTAATACTGCAGTGTTCAAATACTCAAAGTAACAGTCCTGCATTCAAAATCTTACCTTAAGTAAAAGTACAAAAGTATTAGGATCAAAACGTACTCATCTTAACCTGTAATAATGCATCATATTTGATTATATTTTGGATTGTGAATCTGAAACTTTAAATAACTATGATATCAAAGAAATGCTGTGCAGTCAAAAGTTCAATATTTCTCTCTGAGTTGTCGTAGAGGAGAAGTAAATAAGAGAAGGAATGCAATACTTTAGTAAATTGCTCAGTTTTCACACATGAAACAAAGCGAAATACTGATGTTTCAGTGACCTCAAACACCACATGCATGTTGATACTGCATTTTTCATTGCGATAACTTCGCTCCTTCAAGTCCTCTTTTCTCATCATCATTCCCCCTCAGCAACCATCATGGAGGTTTTACCAGTTCCTTAAATGCACCTCGATGAGCAAGGAGAGGAGAGAGGAGGGTTCTGGAGGAGCTGAGTGTGAGGAAACACCTGTGTATCCTACATGGAAGTCTTTTACGCAGCTGTGGTGTATTATTGTGCAGATAACAATGAAGCAAGTAAATAAGTAGCACTAACAAATAACACTGATCATCCATAAATATTAAATGATGATTAAAGCAGACAACATATTATAGATAAAATGTCTTATTCTAAGGTTACAAAAAAACCTTTTCTGAAAATTAGAAAAAAGTATTTTTTCTCACCTGATATATATTTTTATCTTTAAGTGTGTGTTGAATATTATACTACAGGAATGTAATAATTGTACAGACTGGACCTTTAAATAAGAAACAAGCATCCAAATGCTCACAAGCTGCCAACACTGAAGGTTAAACACATAATTTACCTGCTATAATTTTAAAAACATTGTTTATGTATAAATGTTGATAATATTTATGTTTCTGATCATTGAAAAATAAAGAAAATAAAGAAAAAAGATGATTTAAAACTTTAAAAATGTTTTTTACTGTGTGTTACTATGCTCACAGCTCATAGCTATGCGCAGAGGTGACATCAGCAGCAATGTCATCATACTCTTCATCTTCATCCAATCCGTGACCACCATCTACACGCTGGGTCATCTCCATGGCGACGACTGGTTGGTTTCGTGTCTTCCTGTTGCAGTAAATGGACACAATCAGACCAGTGGTGACGCAGTACGGACTGATGAGCACTAGATGACAGAAGAGTGTGTACACAGACACAGAGCAGGCTGATGGGAGAAGAACAAGAGTCACAATCAGGTTTGTGTGCGTATTCTGGAGTATAACAATTAACACAGGAAGAGAAAATAAAAACAAGTACTAATCATAATGATTAAATAGAAATGTATTCTATTCTAATTCTTTTATATGAATTTAAAATGTGCGAAAATAAAGACATAATGAGTAGGATTTTCCTAAACTCAAAGTTAATCAATATCAGCTCACTGGGAGCTGACATGTGCCCACTTCTGGTTTAAACGGCCATTTTGTTGAACAAACAGTTGCTGTAATATTGTCCATTTAGCTGATTATTAATGCTAATCGTGCTAACTGTCCAACATGTACAAGTTAGCATCTGTCAGTTTCTAAATGCTTGGGACCCAGACTGAACATTTCTCACATAAAACTTAGTAGTAGTAGTAGTTGAGTTATTGTAAGTCAATACACAGATGACACTGTGATCTCTGTGATACTGAGTAGAGAGATAGAGAGTTTAAATAACTCCAGACTATCTTCCTGTTAGACCTGCACCACTGATCTCTCTCCCTCATCAATACTGATTATACCCTCATGTTAATTTCAGACAGAAGCAGACTTGGCAAAGGTACACACATTCTTTACTCCAGTAGAAGTACAGATGCTTGTGTAAAAAAGACTCCAGTAAAAGTAGAAGTGCTGATTCTTTACTCAAGTAAAAGTAAAAGTACTTATTGCAATTTTTTTAAGCATTTGTTTTGCAATAGTTGCTTCTTTTATTAAAAATTTAAGGCAACTTGTTCCACTGAGAATAAAATCCCTGGTAGTTTGGTGATGTATGGATTAAAATTCTGCTATGATTGGTGAAACTCATGAGAAACTACAAGGATTGGCAGATTTGTGGAAAAGTTGCAGTGATTGGACAAAATTGCCAGAAATCACAGAGATTAATTTGTGCTAATTGTTGCAACTTCCTGGAGAAAGTGAAAAACAAATAATAATAAATAATTATCCTCAAATGAATTCAAACTAAAGTAACAAGTCTGTTTTGAAAGTGTAAGGAGTAAGTAGTAGTATTTGTGTTAAAATGTGGGGAGTAAAAGTACACAACACATTTGTTCAGGTATCTGTACTTTACTAGAACAGTAATAAAGTATTTGTACTTCCCACCTCAGACAGAGGTATGAACTGAGGATGTTATGATAGGTTCACACTTTTAGTCAACATAAATATAAGATCAATTATATAAATATATAGAATTAACTTCCAACAGCTCACCTGCAGAAACATGCACTCCATACAGCAACACAGCCAGAACTGCAATACACAGACAGAGGTCACTGAGGTCCCTTTTATTCCCCCTATTATACAGCTAGTATTAACATGAGTCTTTGGTGATCTTCATCACAAGTGGACAGCTCAAAGTTGAGATCAGATTCCTCAGACCGCATTTAGCACCTCTGAATGGACTGCAGATGGCTGCATTGTTTAAGCAATGCATCCCACATTGAAGGACCATCTACTACTTTCCATTCGGTTGTAAATGACGTATTTGTGCTTTAAACTGATGAACTCATACTGTATTATCCCCAGACTCCCTTAAAGAATCACACAATTTTAAGAGTTGTTGAGTGAAGAAGAACTTTATGAACTTTGTGAAACGCTGTCCACGACAAATTATTCATTATTTGTGCATTCCTGGAAATTCGACATTAAATACAACAAAGTTTTTTATTTCCTTGTAAAAAAAATACTAGAACCGTTTGTCACAGCACTCCTGTACCTGTCAACACTTGTACAAAATGTATGGAAGAAGACTTTTTTTTCATTAATAAAATTTTTTTCACAATTTTTTTTGTGATTTTTTTTTGTTCCTTCTTATAAATTTCGCAAACATTATACATTAAGTTATTTTTTCCTTTTGTGGAAAACATTTTTCCCAGCATGTCAGCTGTCGGTCGTCACTTGACGTGTGTCGAAATGACGTATTTAGAGCTGCCCACACAAGCAAAGTGTGAACAAGGGCTTTAGGGCAGAGGTCAATACTTCCATCAACTCACCTACAGCAGTCATAAAAGGTAGACCTACAAATGGAAAACAAGGTTTACTAAAGGTCAGAGGTCGGAGGTCTAAATAGATTTCAACAGCTTCTCTCTGGAAAAGCTACAAGTGGACACTGAGTTAAGGTTATATTGTCAGACTATAAAAACAGAAATAACAGCAGCAGTTTGAAACTCTGTAAAGAAAATAAACTTAATGTCTGGAAGGTTTAAAGTAACAAAAATATGAACTTGCTATAAAATATGTGAGTGTACCTGCAGCGTGGTTCCTCTGAACCAATCGGACTGCATCTGGAGGAAACAGAGAGCAGTTTATTGGAAATGGAGATCAGAGAGCATTTGTGATGTGACGGACGTTTCCCACAGGACACCGCTGATTGGAGGATTAGGAGTTAGAAGGAGTCCAACCAGTCACAGGTTGTAGTTCTGTTGATCTATTTTCTAAGTCTGATAGAAACTGTTTTCTCTCCAGTGTTTATGACTGAAGAGGAGGTGAGAAAAATAAAATATTTTGCCAGGATTCTGCCATTTAAAATGAGGCAAATATTCTTATATTCTCTACTCTATTCTTATTCAGGTGAATCAAAGTTCTAGTAAAAAAAAAAAAGCTAGTCAAAGATCAATTTTGGTGCGTTGTATGTGTGTAACTAAGAATGTACCCACCTTTCATGCTCTTATCTTTGGAAACACTGGATCAAATGTCTTTATGTGTTTTAATCCCTTTGGACTCATTAAATAAAATTATTTTAAATCTCTATGTTGTATCTATGTATTATATTTTGTTGTTTTTATGTTAATATGGACCTGTGTCTCGCAAATGGAACGATTTTGTGTGAGTTGGGTTGCCTGGTGCAAATTTGTGTTTATTCACATCTTTACATTGACTTTGTATTTATCGGCTTTGGTGGTAATGCACTTTAAGTTGTTGTTGTAATACTGGCCCCAAGTTCCCCATGTTCTAAACAGGAACAAAAGCATTCATGTTTGACCATGTATCCCCATAACCCTCCGTAGGAATGACTTTATGATCTTCTTTTATGATAAAATTATTACTATTAGAGACAAAATTAATCACCAAATGCCCTCAACAAGTATCGCTGTCTCTCCAAATACGGGAATTTTAACAAATGTGAAATCAGATATATATTTAGACTGTTTTTCTTCTGCTGATCTTCATCAACTAACTTCCAATTCCCTTCTTAAAAAGCCCACTCTTGACCCAGGGGTTTTAGCCAACTATAGACCGATTTCTAACCTCCCCTTCCTCTCTAAGATTCTGGAGAAAGTAGTCGCCAAAGAGTTGTGTGACTTTCTACATAACAATAGTTTATTTGAGGATTTTCAGTCAGGATTTAGAGTTCATCATAGCACAGAGACAGCTCTGGTTAAAGTTAATAATGACCTTCTGATTGCTTCTGACAATGGACTTGTCTCTGTACTTGTATTATTAGATCTTAGTGCTGCATTTGACACCATTGACCATAATATTCTTTTACAGAGACTTGAGCATCAAATTGGCATTAAAGGAACCGCACTAAGCTGGTTTAAGTCATATTTATCAGATCGCTTGCAGTTTGTACATGTTAACGATGAATCTTCAAAAAATACTACAGTTAGTCATGGAGTTCCACAAGTGCTTGCTCATGGTGGTACTGTTGGGTCTCTGTAAATTATTTTATAAGGAGTTTGGTCTAGACCTGCTCTATTACATTTTTATTAATATTTTATTTAAATTTATTTATTTATAGTATGGTTGACTATGCTCCCCAAAAACACCATCAAAACTCATTCAGCTCATTCAAAATGCACTTTATAAAATAAGTGCATCTCCCACATTTTGTAATAGACACAAGAATATCTAATAATTTATTAAAAAATGTGGGCAAATTATATATTGGCTTTCATACCTGTTTGATTCCTGCAGAGAAACAGAACTCCGAGCAGAACCAGAAGAAGAACCAGGATAACCAAAGCAACCACAGTTGCTCTGACTCTGTAGCAGTGTAAGAGGAGACGGTGGGAGGCCAGATCAGAAGGAGGACCAAGAGGAGCTGGAGGAGAAACTATTATTATTATTATTATTATTATTATTTAGTGTCAGTGATTGTTTCACTTCCATTAGCTCACCTGCAGAAACAGTCAGTGCAGACAGCAGCACAGACACACCTGCAACAGGAGGACAGAGGTCAGTAAAGGACAGACGTCAGTATCGGTATTAGCCACACTGTATCTACAATGTTGATTTGTAGCAGAATTATAAATCAGGCAGGAGGACTATTTTGGTCAGTTCTTAACACACACTCACTGTATTATTCAGGATGTCTGTTCTGTTTCTTTGATGAAGTTTTGGTGAAACTCAGTGTCAAAAATATCATATTGCAATATTTTATTTTGTGATATTGTATCAATTCTTAAAAACACTGTTTTTGGTTGCATTTAAAAGTCAACTTTTTTTTTACTTTACTCCTAAGGTGGTGTGTTCTTTATACTATGATTATATTAAATAGCAATATATCACAATGCATTGAGTCGTAACACCTGTATGCCTCCAAGCAGCTGTGGCTCAGAGGTAGAGCGGATTGTCCACTAGTTCGATCCCTGGCTCCTGCCTGCTGCATGTCGGTCCTTGAGCAAGATACTGAACCCCAAATTGCTCCCGATGCTGTGTCATCGGTGTGTGAATGTGTATGAATGAGTTAGTTTCTGTTTGATGGGCTTTGCCATCACTGTGTGAAAGGGTGAATGTGGCTGTAGTGTAAGAGTGCTTGGACTGAGTGGTACAGGTCCATTTACCCTTTATACATATCGAGTCTTGCTGATGCTCAGTCGACATGAATAACCACAGAAAGACGGATGACATCAAAATAGTCTGTGCAGTTTCCTGTGTGAAATTTTTTATTTATAAACATGGTATATGTTTTAATGTAGTTCATTTAATGCACAGTACCATTGTGTGAGATGTGTTTAATGAAGCTGGAAGTCTTGTCTTGTAAATGAGTCAGCTTTTTTCTCTGGTTTCACATCTCAGTTAACGCCCCGAACACTAATGTATTTAACAAAAATGTATTCACAGCTGATGTACAGATACTGAAACCGCTGCAGCCGGAGCTCTGAGACATCGAGGGAGACCGCAGTGACTGCACTAACTACAGTGGTTGGATTAAGTGGGATAGTTACTAAAATTTTTACATTGTTGTTTCTTAAGAATAGAATGAGATAAAACTCACATTGTAAAGTTCAGTTTCAGTCATAACTTAGTTTTGACCAAAATTATTGTTACTGCGGTTTCCCTTTGTAGGGCAATACAGTCCAGACCACCTTTGTCAAGTCCAAAACCAGGACCAGTCGAGTCCAAATGAGAGACAAAAAGTCAACAAAGAAAAAACGGCAGTGAGAGGAGTTTTTATATGTCAGTATTCGTTCTATGTGGATTTTAAATTAAACCAAAACCAGCTTCGTCAGTGGACATATTTTGAAGGAGGAAGTTAGTTCAGAGAAGTAACACATATCTATACTCCAACGAGTCAGAGAGTCCGAGCTACAGCTCGGCATAATAAATGTCTGAATGTGTCACAGAAAGATACTGAAGAAAACTTCCTTTTTTACAGTATTTCAACAGAGAATCTGTCTGTTATCTCCAGGATCAACAAAAGACACAGAAATATTAAACATTTAAACGTTGAACCAGTCTATATTGATCTCTGTAGTTTGTATCTTCAGTGATTGATTGACAGAATATATTGTTCTGAATGGACGAATAAATAAACTGTAAAAAGTAAAAAGAAGACAAACAGGATCAGGTCCTGTGCTGTTTGCTTTGTTTGAGTGGATGAATGGAAGAAAGGATGAGTGTGGGACTTACCAAGCAGCAGGGACACAGATGAAGCCTTCATGTTGTCTGGATGTGGACTGTCAGTCCGTCTCAGGAGCAGAGAACCTTCAGCCACTTCCTGTTTGACACTCTGTGTCACTCTGCTGCTCCTGATTGGTGCTCCACGGCGAGGGCGGGACTACCTGCTTTAATGGGGTTCCTCAACAGGAACCGTTTGACTCCACGACTCCAAGTATTAACAACATGTAATCACCGCCGCCGGCTGCAAGAAACCAGCATGGTGCCAGAACACCGAACTGGAGGCTTCAAACCGGGACTCCACAGACCGTCATTATAATGACAAACTGTCTGCTTATATTAAGATACTAAGTCATTACTTTGAAGTGTCTCGTTATAATAACTTACAGAAACGGCCACAGAGCAAAACGTTCATTTAAACTAAAACCCTCTTGTCTACACAAGCGCACTGTCCCTTTAAGTTACGTTTAATTTAATTTAAAGTCCAGTTCAGACCAAAGATTCCCGACCAGACGAAGCAGTTTCAGGATCAGTTGCAGTGGTGTGAACTGGTTGTCTCAGCTCAACTCAATTCAGCTGACAGCATCGCTAACTCAGGTCTTTTTTTAATGTTCTTGTCAGTGTTTGAATATGGTCACTGTGGTTCTTCCTCATTCAGGAAGTTTTTATGATGACACAGGTGTGTGCTGGTGTCGGATGCACTGAGCATGGTCACAGTAGTCAGGATGACAGAAGTTTGTACAATAATGGCAGAAAAACTTCTGCAGCTGCTGTTCAGTCAGAAACAAACAAGAAACACACTGTGACCATGAAACAACAAAGAAAACAACCTCATATGTTGTAAAGAGAAACAGGAACAAACAGACAGATGATCAGTGAGACAACATGAGGCAGCAGCAAGTGTCCTCATGTGTCCAAACCAACTCGTAATGTCACCCATCGGTTTGTGGAGAACCGTTTAAAGCCTAGAATTCTGCGTTTTGGCCGGCACCATGAAAGTTTGTCGGAGCCAGCGGAGGTCACGTAAAGCAAGTTGAGCTGCTCTAAATGGCGGCTCACTTGGTCACACAGGATCTGGTATTCCAGATAAACCGTAAAATGTGTTTGTGAACAGATTTGAGGAGAGAAATAGTCAACAACAGAATCTGGATCTGAGTTTGGTTGAGCTGGACGGACTCACTGAGAATGAGCTGTCAATCACAAGGTAGCCCCGCCCTAAAGCATGCTTGCCTGCTTTATGGTCTGTTTTACTCTAAATGGGACCATCAGTTACTAAATGAACATCATGCTGTATGGAAGAAGACTGAAACTCATCAGGAAACTGTTTACTGAGCTCATTCTCCATTAGAGTGAATGGGATCAGTTTATATTGCAGCCAGTGGAGCTCCCCCTGCTGGCCAATACACAGAATGCAGGTTTAACACTGTCAATACTGTCCAATGGTCCAAATATGCTGATTCTTTATTGAATGTGTGAATATTCTGTGTCCTGAACAAGGTACTGGGCTTACAAACATTACTGCGGCTCATCAACAGTGAATGTAAATATATTTGATATATATAATAATCTATATAAATATATCTGACCTATATAATAATCTATATAAATATATTTGATATATATAATAATCTATATAAATATATCTGATGGTGGAAATCAATAAACTGTTTTATTCAGAAACCTTTTTCATTAAACTGAGGCCGATCACAGAGTCTATAACAGATCATTACCTTCATTTTAATGTGTTAATATGATTGCATGAGGGTGCACCCACTGAGCCTCATACAGGAAACAACACAAAGAACAACTCTTTGTTCTTTGTGTTGTGTTGTTGTGTTTATCTCCTTTCTGCTGCAGCTGGTCAGGGTGGGTCTCGATGATTTCAACATCACTGATCTCTTAACTCTGATTCTCAAACATAACTGAAGCTGGACCTGAGTTCACGTCTCTGAGCGTCTTTAAAGGTTTGTGATGAAATTATCTTTATAGACAGAAATATTTCAGTAATAATAACAGAAAGAATATCTAAACATAGAAACATGTTCAGATTACAGCTGGCTGCAAAATGACTTCACCAGCTAATGTGACGATACTAACGTATGTATTATAAAGGTACACAGCTAACGATAGCTTTCTACTAGCCAAGAGCAATGCGAGATAGGGGCATCCAGCTAGGTAACTGTAGCTAAACTAAGCTGTGGTTGTTTTCTAGGGTCATTGTTGTAGCAAAAATATTAACAAATGTGTGTGGAGAGTTGTGTAACTGTATCTCAATCCGTAGCAAAAATATTAACAAATGTGTGTGGAGAGTTGTGTAACTGTATCTCAATCCGTGTAATCAGATTGAAAATGTGCAAAAGAATCTGTAAATATGTACTGAGATTTGTGAATGTATTGATATCTTTAAATGTGTAGATAAATCTGTAAATGCAAACATACATATTATTGTATATTATATATATATTATAATATTAATGACTGAGAAGAAGTACAGGCTCCAAGAGCTGGAAATACAGACAATTTATCAGTTACAACTCAGTTGGCTCTTTTTCTACCTGACTTTTGCTTCACTTCTGCCGCTGCAGATCTGACAATGTGTGTGAGGAGAGATTCTTGTACTCATTTACAATCTGATTATGCACACATGGATTCTGAGCACAAATTTACAGAGTCTCCAATCCAAATCATTGTCCAAACAGGTCACTGGATAGATACACTCCCTTTATTGTGCTTCGTACGGAAGCCCTGAAAGGCACATTTATTTATATTTTTAAAGATCATTTAAGTCTTTTAACTTAGAAAAGTCATGACATTTTTTTTATTTTTTCACTTCCCCTTCAGGGTTTGAAATTATATTTTAACTAGTTTTCACTGGTGACATTCTTTTTTAAACACAAACAATTTGATCTTGAAAAATAAAACATTTCACTTGCCTTTCGAGGTTTAAGTCGTTTCCAAAGGTTAAAACAATATTTTTAACTAGAAAAAACTTTTTAAGCAATGGGAACTTTTAAATAATTTGTTTTTAATCTCTTAATAGTTTTTGTAAACTGAATCAGAATCAGAAATACTTTAATAATCCCAGGGGGAAATTACCTTTGTTACAAACTCCAGGCATACAACATATAATATATTAAGAATATATGTAATATATATATATATATATATATATATATATATATATATATAAAGGTAAAATGTACAGTTTAAAATGTGCAAAAAGTGCAAAGATGGTTGTCCGTGTTTGAGTCACATTACAGAGAGGGGGTGTCTGACTCTCTGAGAGAGGCGTTGTAGAGTTTAATGACCACAGGCAGGAATGATTTCCTCTGGCGCTCTGTGGTGCATCTGGGTGAGAGGAGTTTAAAAGTGTTTCCAAAGAAAAAGAAAAGTATCAAAAGTAAAAGTATTCACTATGCAGCCTGATATTTCAGATGACTCATTATTGGATACAGATTATTGATGCAATCATGTGTTTATCTCCTTTCTGCTGCAGCTGGTCAGGGTGGGTCTCGATGATTTCAACATCACTGATCTCTTAACTTTGATTCTCAAACATAACTGAAGCTGGACCTGAGTTCACGTCTCTGAGCGTCTTTAAAGGTTTGTGATGAAATTATTTTTTCACTTCCCCTTCAGGGTTTGAAACTATATTTTATTTTAGTTTTATTTTATGATGACACAGAGGTAGAGTGCGTGCTAGTGTTGGATGCACTGAGCATGGTCACAGCAGTCAGGATGACAGAAACAAACAAGAAACACACTGTGACCACAAAACGACAAAGAAAACAACCTTATATGTTAAAGAGAAACAGGAACAAACAGACAGATGATCAGTGAGACAACATGAGGCAGCAGCAAGTGTCCTCATGTGTCCAAACCAACTGTGAACCTATCGTAATATCACGGTTTGTGGAGAACCGTTTTAAAGCCCAGAATTCTTCGTTTTGGCCGGCACCATGAAAGTTTGTCGGAGCCAGCGGAGGTCACGTACTGCGAGTTGCTCTGCTCTCATTGGCGGCTCTCCTGCTCACACAGGATATAATAATCTGTCAACAACAGAATCTGGATCTGAGTTTGGTTGAGCTGGACGGACTCACTGAGCTGTCAATCACAAGGTAGCCCCGCCCTAAAGCATACCCTGCTTTATGGTCTGTTTTACTCTAAATGGGACCATCAGTTACTAAATGAACATCATGCTGTATGGAAGAAGACTGAAACTAGAGACTGAGACCAGAAACTCATCAGGAAACTGTTTACTGAGCTCATAAAGGAAGTCGGCTCATTCTCCTTTAGAGTGAATGGGATCAGTTTATATTGCAACCAGAGTTCTCATTCTTCAGGTTTTTGCTCAGATTTTGTTGATTTGGTGTTTCTCCCAGAGGTAAGAAGCTACGTAGTTCAACTGTTTCCTTTTAGTATGGTTTTATGATCAGAAGTCTGCACAGGATGTTTTATTTTGAAAATCGACCGGTTAAATAGATGCTCACCAATGCATCCTGGGTAATCTGATCACACTTCAAAACAAAGTATTGCAGTGCTTCTACCTGTACTTGTCTCCATTCACAAAGGAATTCATGACATCTTGTATTTGGGGATATTGTAGGTTTTACCCAGAAGTCAAAGGTGGTTCTCAGACAACCCGTCTGTAAGTTATCATAAGATGTCATACAGACCGCTAATGTATCTACACACAACTACACATCCTACAGACAGTGTGAGACTGCACATAGTTTCAGTGGACTGCTCCTTTAACTGCTTACCATGTATGTAAAATTACCTAAAAGAGTCTAAAACAACATACCCAAAGCAGCTTTTCATGGGCATATATCTATGTGCTCATGTAGATGGACAATAAATCTTACTGGAGTGGATATATTGGACCTTTGGCAATGAAACAGTGCTGTTTTTGTTGGATTATTACTGATTCCATGATTACAATGAGGCTTCTTGGGTGAGTTGGCTCAATTTTATGATTGCTTGCTCGCTAGTTTGAGGTGCCAATTGTGCCTGCTGATGTGATTGTATCCCAAAATCGTTTTGATCAATAAATAGACGAGATTCTAAGCTTTCCAATGATGTATGGTATGGGTACTAAATCCAACATGGTGGAATGCAAACATGGCAGCATGGGCCGTTGACATAAGAGAAGGTTAAACACAGCTAGGGGAATTAGCTCAAACGGTAGAGCACTCACTTAGCATGCGAGAGGTAGCGGGATCGATGTCCGCATTCGTGATCAGCACACTGAGGCTGAAGCTAACACCTTTGCTCTTCTGGTTCAGTTTTGTGTACATGGAGGTGGAGCTCTGACTGCAGCTTCTTGTGCACTTCAACAAACACCACGATGTCCCAACTTGAAAATCTTCACTCTATGTTGTTTTTGTGTGTTGCAGCTACAAGAAACTACAACCTCCATCTTTGATCTGACCCTGAATAGAAGAAGATGGGCAATGTGGCGAGCAGAGTAAGGGAGTCATCGAGGGAGCGAGAGCAGGCATATCTGGCCCGTTTCGTGAGGAGACTCACCCAGGGTCCAGATCTGACAGTAAACAAGAGCATCGGGATGTTCACCAGTCTGTCGTCTTCAGAATACCTGAATCAACACTTCCAGAGGAGCAAAATGGAGGCCGGTGACTGCGCTGCAGACTGGATCAAGAAACTGGTGGAGAAGCTGGCCAACTTCACGCCAGTTCCTCAACTAGCGGGCCTCGGAGCGCTCGCTATCTCTGTCATCATCGATGTAGTCTCCTTTGTTCCGCCTGAAGAGACCGTAAAGAACACTCTGCAATCCGTGTTTGCAGAGGAGAAGACCTCCGAGATCTGGGATCAGATCGATGAGTGCCTGAAGAGGTGTGTCATGCACATAGATAATGACGATGAGCTGAAGAGTGACCTGGAGCGCATCGAGTGCCAGCTGAGCGCCGCGCTCACCAAGCTGAAGAACTTCATGATGAGGGACGGGCACAAGTCATCTCAGGCTCTGAAGGCCTGGGTGAATGGAGCAGCCTTCCACATCCAGATGCTGATTCACCTGCTGATACTCAAAAGGAGTCACAATCTACACAATCTACACACACAACTACACAATCTCCTCTTGATGTATCCGATCGACCTGGACCTGCTGTTCGAAAAGCACAAGCAGATGGTAAAAGGAAAGTGCACTGTCAGAAAGATCCGTCCCGTTTTCAAAATTGTTCCTGATGGTCTTATATGGATGGTGGATGAAGATTTAAAGTGGTATTCCATAGATATGTTAATCAGCTATGAGAAATATTTTGAGGCATATTATAATCACAGGTATGGTCAGCAGAAGGATAACATTAAGACGTACTTCAGTGATGTAAAAGTGGACCTGAACAAGCTGGTTGTTCAAATAAAGTCCTTCAATGTCAGCTGAGGGTGAGGCTGATGAATCTACAGAGATAAACTCCTGCACACTGTCTATCAGGTACATGGTTCCTGCCATCTTAAATAGAAACACCTGCAGTAGGAAGGTACTAATGTTTACAGTGTGACAGCCTCCAAATCACAGACATGGACCACATCAGTGTACACAAAGAGGACAAAGAGCCACCTTATATCTATAAAAACCTTTATAATCAATACAACAAGGTCTCACACAATCCCAATGTATCAAAAATCTACAAATGTTAAATAACAATAATCACATTGCTCTCATTACATTACAGACCTTCTTGTATGAAATGTTACACCCATGTGCAATGTGTATGTATGTACAATATGCCCACATTTGGTTGCAATCCAATTCAGCATTGAAGAGTTACGGCCCATAATGTATCCTGCTTCAAAAGTTCGCTCACCAATTACAGACACACCATAAGTGATACCCAAACACATCACCATAAGTCTTGTTCAGCTCCATCTAAATATGCTATGCACCAATTTCGGTGAAGATGAGATTAAACATGTGCCAAAAGAAGAAGAATAAAATCCAAAATTGTGGAATATTTTCCAGGCATGAACGGGCGTGGCTTATATCAGTAACAGGAATCTGCTGTACAAAAATACTTCTTCTACTTGTAACTGTTCATAAACTATTAGCAAAAATGTAAAATGCTTTAAAAATTGTGGCATTGTTAGTTAAAATATCCATGTTTAATTCAATGTGAAAAAATCAATAAAAATACGTTTTAAAAAGAAAATGGTGTCTGTGTGGAGTTCGGCAGCATTTGAATGGAGACTTGTGGAGATATGGATGTTACAGACTTTAAGTTGCAGTGAGGCAATGATTTGTTCCAATCATAAAATAAGAGTAAAATATTATAATCTCAATAACTAACAGATAGTAAAATATTAAAATCTAATAATAACAATACTTAAAGCTGCAAGCAGTGTTGGGCGGGACCTCGCACTCCACGCAACTCGGGGCGTGCTGCGGCCGTGTCACGTGCCATCGTAACACGTGCGGACCACAACATGAAAATTTCACGTAAATCAGATCAAAATTGCTTACTTCCTGTTGGCAGTGGGTGGCGCTCTCACTATATCTGAATATTGTCATGTAGACGGGTTCAGGGCGGGACTCATCAAATGTGAAGTTTTCACAAATAGCACAACTTTTAATCAGCAATGTTTTTTGACTTTACTGATCAATTTTGAAGCAGATCCGATAAATTCCCTAGGAGGAGTTCGTTCAAATACAACGCGAAAAGTTCGCCGAAGTGAAAATGAAAATCAGAAAAACTTCCTGTGGGGTTTCGGGTATGGGTCCAAGAGGCTTTTTTGTACGTCCCGGCATGTTACACGTGCCTACCGAGTTTCGTACATATCGGTGAAACGTGGCACCGTGGCTGTTTTTTTTTATCCTGTAGGGGGCGCTACACATACGACAAACACGATTTTTGGTATGTGAGCTACAGGCACTATTCTACACGTGCCCTGTGAATTTCATATTCCTAACTATTACGGTCTCCACACAGTGATTTACCCTGCCACCAGAGCGCCACCTAGTGGCGGATTGTTGACACATTTATTAGTGAGCCTCAGGGAGCCATGGGGAAGCATCGTACCAAGTTTTGTTTCAATCACACGTGCCGATCCAGAGATATAAACTTCTTCATTTTATAGAGCGCCACCTTGTGGCGATGGCCTGAAATTGTGCACGATGCTTAAGGAAGACATGAGGAACTATCAACCCAAGTTTGGTGTCAATCAGACAAACCAATGTGGAGAAATGCTCAACTTCCTGTTTTGACTAAAAATCCACAGGAAGTGTGAATTTTTTAACGTGCTTATTTTTTGAAATATCAAAATTCTTTGAATCACTTTTTCATTAGGACGGTCCTCAGATGCTACGTGAAAAATGTTGTGCGAATCGGACAAAGCGCATGGGGGGAACACAGAAAAGTAGTTTATCGACATTTCGTGCTCTAGTGGAGAAAAATTCTAGGTGGAAGTGGGCGGGGCCTATATGGCGAGATTCATGCTGCTTTCCATTTGTCTGCCGCGAGAACGTGACGTCATTGCCTGGCTTGTACCACTTATAGCGTTCCAGTTTGTCTTTGGGCGTTACGAGTCGGAAAGAAGTGCAGCAGCTGTGTTGTTATTGATTGTGGCTCTAAACAAGCTCAATGTGAAATAATAATAATGTTTTTCTACACAAACATTTCAAATAATTCCGTTATTGCAAGTCTTACAGTTCAATAATATTTTCGCCTATTTCAATGTCAACAAGTGCTGTGGCGTTTGTCTCGAGCCTCCAGAGGCCACCAGGGGCCTCCAGGAGCCTCCAGGAGCCTCCAGAGGCCACCAGAGGCCACCAGGGGCCACCAGGGGCCTCCAGGGGCCTCCAGGGGCCACCAGGAGCCTCCAGGAGCCACCAGGGGCCTCCAGAGGCCAGGCACCAGGAGCCTCCAGGAGCCACCAGGGGCCTCCAGAGGCCACCAGGAGCCACCAGGCCCAGGAGCCACCAGGGGCCTCCAGGGGCCACCAGGAGCCACCAGGGGCCTCCAGAGGCCACCAGGGGCCTCCAGGGGCCTCCAGGAGCCACCAGGGGCCTCCAGGGGCAGGCTAGTGTTATTGTTAGCTACATTAGCCTGTTTAGCAACCAGCTCTAAAACCAACCTTTACATTGTATTGAACTCACAGTAACACGGTGTAATGTATGAACTGGTGACCGGACTCAAGCAGCAATGTAAACAGTGTGTAGGAGAATTTAAAGTCGACATTAAAACGACCAACGTAGCACAAATACAAAGAACATACATCTCAATATGGGCGCTGCCATCTTTGTTTTGCGGGTCGTACCTCAGGGCGCCCCGAGCTGGACGGCTGATATTACGACCAAAAGGGGGCGTGTCTCGGTGAAATGTCGCGAGATAGCTGCGAGATTTACACTTTCCAACTCGGATTCCGAGTTCACGAGACAAATGGAAAGCAGCATCAGCTCCATTCACTGAACGCGTGGATACGAGGTTTATGAATGTGCGACAAACTCTGCAGAAGCTGTTAGCCTAAACGCACTTTTTATGATAGTAGCGCCACCTAGTGGCAGACCCGAAAACAACACATAGAATATCCCCATGTTCACCAGGCCTGACAACTTTGCCAAATAAAATGTAGTTTTATTTTTAGTCGTATATGTTCAGGGGGGCAAAAACGCAGTCGAAGGCGCGAATAATAATAATAATAAGAAGAAACAACAAAAACAATAGGGACCTCCAGCGGTTGCTGGCTCGGTCCCTAATTATATATAATAATATATTATTATATATAATTATATAATAATATATTATTTATATATTATAATTATTTATATATAATTATATATTATTATATAATTATATATTTTATTATATATATAATTATATATAAATAATTATATATAATTATATATTATATATATAAATATATATAAAAAATTTATAAATAAAAAAAAAATAAATAAAAAAAAATAATATTAAAATATTATTTATAAAAAAAAAAAATATTATAAAAAAAAAAAAAAAAAAAAAAAAAAATTATATATAATAATATATTATGATATATAATTATATATAATAATAATTCTATGTGTGTGGTGGATAAACATTTATGTTCCTTTCTCTCTAACACTAATAATAATCTGCCTACACTTCCCACAATGCCCCTCTGTGGGAGAGCAGCGGGATGCTCCACGTGCTCGGGGATTTAAAGTGTATCTACGGGAGAGGAGGGGCGGGAAAGTGTGTCACTGGGGCACGAGGCTCTCCCCGCGGTCACGTGGTCTCGTTCTCTGCCGCGTGCGGGCCTCCGTACAGTCATCGTCATCATCATCAGCCTGCTTGTTGCGCGCGCGCCCTGTTTGAAAGAAATACAGAGAGAGAGAGAGGAGCGCGTGCAGCCAGTGACAGGCTCCTCGTGCAGCAGACTGATGTTACAGAGAGGAAGAGGAAGAGGAAGAGGAGACACTCAGTAATGGACTATACGCTCTTCTTCTTCTTATTCTCCCGCGCTGTTTCCCGCCTCTAGTTCTCCGGTTGGGATGAAGATTTCCGGGATTTTTTAAAGGAACGCTCTCGTGCTGGAGGGCAGGATGACGACGACTGCCATGGACGCAAACAACTATAACAACAACAACAACAACAACAACAACAACAACACAGGTTTGTGTTTGTGAAGGGTCAGAACTGTCTTTAAATCGGTCCTTTAATGAATGGAGTCTGGTGGAACTGGGTCTCGTTCTGGTTAGATTTTAATGTTTGCTCTTCATCAGTTCTGGTCCAGTGTTTGCAGGAGGAGGAGGAGGAGGAGGAGGAGGACGAGGAGGAAGAGGAGGAGGAGGAGGAGGAGGAGGAGGAGGAGGAAGAGGAGGAGGAGGAGGAGGAGGAGGAGGAAGAGGAGGAAGAGGAGGAGGAGGAGGAGGAGGAGGAGGAGGAGGAGGAGGAGGAGGAGGAGGAGGAGGAGGAGGAGGAGGAGGAGGAGGAGGAGGAGGAGGAGGAGGAGGAGGAGGAGGAGGAGGAGGAGGAGGAGGAGGAGGAGGAGGAGGAGGAGGAGGAGGAGGAAGAGGAGGACGTTGCACAGTGACGGACTCGCGCACATGTCCGTATGATCATCACGGGGACCGGCACCGTGATTCTGGTTGTGTTTGAAGGATCTGGGTCACGATGACAGGGGTCGGTCTCTGGGTCTGTCTCTGGGTCTGTCTCTGGGTCGGTCTCTGGGTCGGTCTCTGGGTCGGTCTCTGGGTCGGTCTCCGGGTCTGTCTCTGGGTCGGTCTCGGGTCTGTCTCTGGGTCTGTCTCCGGGTCGGTCTCTGGGTCGGTGTCTGGGTCGGTCTCCGGGTCTGTCTCTGGGTCTGTCTCCGGGTCGGTCTCCGGGTCTGTCTCTGGGTCGGTGTCTGGGTCTGTCTCTGGGTCTGTCTCTGGGTCGGTCTCCGGGTCGGTCTCTGGGTCGGTGTCTGGGTCGGTCTCCGGGTCTGTCTCTGGGTCGGTGTCTGGGTCTGTCTCTGGGTCGGTCTCCGGGTCTGTCTCCGGGTCGGTGTCTGGGTCGGTGTCTGGGTCGGTCTCCGGGTCTGTCTCTGGGTCGGTGTCTGGGTCGGTCTCTGGGTCGGTCTCCGGGTCTGTCTCTGGGTCTGTCTCCGGGTCGGTCTCCGGGTCGGTCTCTGGGTCGGGTGGACCGGCAGGGATGTGTACGCGTGTGCACGTGCGCGCGCTCGCCCTAGCCACTATGGGGCCGTTACCGGTTCACATGGACCGGCTCACCGGGCCATGTGCGCTTTGTTTTCACTGAGCTCCGCTCTGATTGGCTGCTGCTCAGACTGAGCTCATTGTGTAATCTTCCTCCTCCTCCTCCTCCTCTTCCTCTCTGATCCTGTGTTTCTTTCTCTAAAAGATCAGGAATCAATAATCAATAACTGGAGGAAGTATTAACATATAATCAATAATTTATATTCATACAGTTTAATATATCACTGTAACTAATTACTGTAAAGAGTAATAGATTACATTTAACCAGCACTGATTACACACACACACACATTGTTCATGTTTATTATACTTTATTATATTTGATATATTTATTTTAATAAGTGTTCACTTTGAGTTCTGTTGTTGTTAATGTGTGTGTGTTAGATCTTATCATTTTGGGTTTTATGTCTCTGTGGTTGTTTTATATAACCTTATAACTATATAACCTTATAACTATATAACTTTATAACTATATAACTTTATAACTTTATAACTGTATAACTATATAACTTTATAACTATATAACCTTATAACTGTATAACTGTATAACTATATAACCTTATAACTATATAACTTTATAACTATATAACTTTATAACTATATAACTTTATAACTATATAACTTTATAACTATATAACTTTATAACTATTTAACTTTATAACTATATAACTTTATAACTTTATAACTATATAACCTTATAACTATATAACTTTATAACTATATAACCTTATAACTATATAACCTTATAACTATATAACCTTATAACTATATAACTTTATAACTTTATAACTATATAACCTTATAACTATATAACTTTATAACTATATAACCTTATAACTATATAACTTTATAACTATATAACCTTATAACTATATAACTTTATAACTTTATAACTATATAACCTTATAACTATATAACTTTATAACTTTATAACCTTATAACTATATAACCTTATAACTATATAACTTTATAACTTTATAACTATATAACCTTATAACTATATAACTGTATAACTATATAACTTTATAACTATATAACTTTATAACTTTATAACTATATAACTATATAACCTTATAACTATATAACTTTATAACTTTATAACTATATAACCTTATAACTATATAACTGTATAACTATATAACTTTATAACTATATAACTTTATAACTTTATAACTATATAACTTTTAACTATTTAACTATTTAACTTTATAACTTTATAACTATATAACTTTATAACTATTTAACTATTTAACTATATAACTATTTAACTTTATAACTTTATAACTTTATAACTATATAACTTTATAACTTTATAACTGTATAACTATATAACCTTATAACTATATAACTGTATAACTATATAACTTTATAACTTTATAACTATATAACTTTATAACTATTTAACTTTATAACTTTATAACTATATAACTTTATAACTATATAACTTTATAACTATATAACTATATAACTGTATAACTGTATAACTTTATAACTATTTAACTTTATAACTATTTAACTTTATAACTTTATAACTATATAACTTTATAACTATATAACTTTATAACTTTATAACTATATAACTTTATAACTTTATAACTATATAAATTTATAACTTTATAACTATATAACTATATAACTTTATAACTATTTAACTTTATAACTATTTAACTTTATAACTTTATAACTATATAACTTTATAACTATATAACTTTATAACTTTATAACTATATAACTTTATAACTTTATAACTATATAACTTTATAACTATATAACTTTATAACTATATAACCTTATAACTATATAACCTTATAACTATATAACTTTATAACTTTATAACTGTATAACTATATAACCTTATAACTATATAACTTTATAACTATATAACCTTATAACTATATAACCTTATAACTATATAACTTTATAACTTTATAACCTTATAACCATATAACTTTATAACTATATAACCTTATAACTATATAACTTTATAACTTTATAACTATATAACCTTATAACTATATAACTTTATAACTATATAACCTTATAACTATATAACTTTATAACTATATAACCTTATAACTATATAACTTTATAACTTTATAACTATATAACCTTATAACTATATAACTTTATAACTATATAACTTTATAACCTTATAACTATATAACCTTATAACTATATAACTTTATAACTTTATAACTATATAACCTTATAACTATATAACTGTATAACTATATAACTTTATAACTATATAACTTTATAACTTTATAACTATATAACTGTATAACTTATAATAACTTTATAACTATATAACTATATAACTTTATAACTATATAACTTATAACTTTATAACTATATAACTTTATAACTATATAACTGTATAACTATATAACTTTATAACTATATAACTGTATAACTTTATAACTTTATAACTGTATAACTGTATAACTTTATAACTATATAACTTTATAACTATATAACTGTATAACTGTATAACTATATAACTTTATAACTATATAACTTTATAACTATATAACTATATAACTGTATAACTGTATAACTATATAACTTTATAACTATATAACTGTATAACTGTATAACTATATAACTTTATAACTATATAACTTTATAACTATATAACTATATAACTGTATAACTGTATAACTATATAACTTTATAACTATATAACTTTATAACTATATAACTTTATAACTATTTAACTTTATAACTATTTATAACTATATAACTGTATAACTTTATAACTATATAACTTTATAACTATAACTTTATAACTTTTATAAGTGAAACTGTCCTGATGAAGTCGTTTGTTTTCACCTGTATAAACAGCTGATAATTAACAATGAATTGATTATTAGCTAATTCATTTGGGCCTTACATTATTATAAAGATATGAAGCCAGTTTAAAGGAAATGAGTCGGTGGAACAAACTGGAATTATATCAACAATAACTGAATTATAAATGTGAACGAATGTTTTGGAGGATGAAGTTAATTAATTAGTTTAATTAAGATATTAATAATTGATTATTAATGATTGACAGGTTTCTGCTGAGCACATTGTGAGGATCCTCGCTGACAGTGAACATAAAGTTATTATTTATTGTTATTATATATTCTTACTTATTACTGGAGCTAGTACATTTAATAATTAATGTTAGTCAGCAGTTATTGGATGGATCATTATGAAACTGACCTTCATGTTCCCTCCGTACATTAATGCCAAATACCAACTGAACTTTATTCACGTTTCTCTGTGGTTGTTTTATGTCTCTGTGGTTGTTTTATGTCTCTGTGGTTGTTTTATGTCTTTGTGGTTGTTTTATGTCTCTGTGGTTGTTTTATGTCTCTGTGGTTGTTTTATGTCTCTGTGGTTGTTTTATGTCTCTGTGGTTGTTTTATGTCTCTGTGGTTGTTTTATGTCTCTGTGGTTGTTTTATGTCTCTGTGGTTGTTTTATGTCTCTCTGTGGTTGTTTTATGTCTCTGTGGTTGTTTTTGTTTATGTCTCTGTGGTTGTTTTATGTCTCTGTGGTTGTTTTATGTCTCTGTGGTTGTTTTATGTCTCTGTGGTTGTTTTATGTCTCTGTGGTTGTTTTATGTCTCTGTGGTTGTTTTATGTCTCTCTGTGGTTGTTTTATGTCTCTGTGGTTGTTTTATGTCTCTGTGGTTGTTTTATGTCTCTGTGGTTGTTTTATGTCTCTCTGTGGTTGTTTTATGTCTCTGTGGTTGTTTTATGTCTCGTGGTTGCTGTGGTTGTTTATGTCTCTGTGGTTGTTTTATGGGTGTGTGGTTGTTTTTGTCTCTGTGGTTGTTTTTGTCGTGGTTGTTAGGTTGTCTCTGTGGTTGTTGTCTCTGTGGTTGTTGTATGTCTCTGTGGTTGTTTTATGTCTCTGTGGTTGTTTTATGTCTCTCTGTGGTTGTTTCGGTCTCTTTATGGTAGCTTTATTTACTGTTCAGGAACTGTACTATACACCTGAGGGTCATCACAAGTACATCTAGCCTGTGTGAGTGTGTGAGTGTGTGTGTGTGTGTGTGTGTGTGTGTGTGTGTGAGTGTGTGTGTGTGGGCGGGTCGGTCTGGATCCAGTCCCGTTGCAGAGTCTGCTGTGTGGAGGAGGCACGTGGCTCAGGGGCGTGACTACTACCAACACACTATCCTCTCTCTCCCCCCCAGTCTGCATGAGAGAGAGAGAGAGAGAGAGAGAGAGAGAGAGAGAGATTATTGACATACGTCTATAGAACCAAGTACTCTGATGCGGAGGTCGAGGTTACAACCCGCTCTCTCACTGATTGTTCCTCAGGAAGTGAGAGAGATGAGAAGATTGATATCAGCCTCGTGTCTGAGGAATCCCTCCATAAACACTGAATATTAATTATTAAACACATTGCTGTGTGTGTGTGTGTGTGTGTGTGTGTCTGTTAGTGTGTGAGTGTGCGTCAGTCCCCACGTGCAGCACTGACACGTGGGGAAACAGGATGAGAGCTACAGTCACATCTGTGGTTCAAACACAGGCAGCAGGTCTGTTAGCTCTGTGGATGCTCCCATCTGTCCGTCACTCCTCCTCCTCCTCCTCCTCCTCCTCCTCCTCTGAGTGCAAAATGATGATGTAATTTATCTGTTTTTATTTTAGTGATGCATAAATCACTGTGTGTGTGTGTGTGTGTGTGTGTGTGTGTGTGTGTGTGTGTGTGTGTGAGAGAGTGTATGGTTTCCATCTGTTCATCCGTCTGCTGATGATCATCCTCACGTGGAGTTAACCTCTCCTGTGATCATCAGTGTCTTCCTCGTATTGATTTATTGATATATAAATACATTAATATATTAATATATATATTGATATATTAATGTATTGATATATATATTGATATATTAATGTATTGATATATATATTGATATATTAATGCATTGATATATATATTGATATATTGATATTGTTACTGAGTTATGGGACTGTGATCAATGCTGTTAATGTTCACATTATTACCAAAGTAGCTTAGCTGAGCTACAACAAAATGCTAACTAGCTGTCTCTCTAGGAACAGCCTGAGACTCCTCCCCCTCCCCTCCTCCCCTCCCCTCCCCTCCCCCCTCCTCCACTCTCTCTGTCCCCAGAATTCCTAGAAAGTCTGTTTGTTTTCGGTTTTTACTAGAGAGCCCCCCCCCTCCCCTCAACAGTCTGTTACCATGGATACAGGAAAAACAGCCAGGCTTCCTCTGCATAAACACCCCCTCCTCCCCCCTCCTCCCCCACCAGCCGACCACACACACACTCACACACACTCACACACACACACTCACACACACACAGATGGCTCCGCCCCCTCGTGTCTGGCAGTGTGAGGTCACTGAACTGATCTGAGAGCTGCTGAAAACTTTCTTTTAACTGGTGTACAGGAAGTAAAAGAGGAAGTTGTCAGAGGTGTGCTCGCCTGTCATTGGAGCACAGAGTAAAAAGGGGCGGGGCCTAGGAAGGGTGTAGGTGATGGCTCATTTTCCTAGTTAAACACAACATTTCAGAAAAGTTGTGATACAAAAACTGATTTATATGAGTTAATGTGAGTGCTGAGCTGGTTTCATTCCTCCAGGTTCCTCCTCTCTGTAGTCTGCTGTCAGACAGCAACCCTCCAGGTTCCTCCTCCAGGTTCCTCCTCTCTGTAGTCTGCTGTCAGACAGCAACCCTCCAGGTTCCTCCTCCAGGTTCCTCCTCTCTGCAGTCTGCTGTCAGACAGCAACCCTCCAGGTTCCTCCTCCAGGTTCCTCCTCTCTGTAGTCTGCTGTCAGACAGCAACCCTCCAGGTTCCTCCTCCAGGTTCCTCCTCCAGGTTCCTCCTCTCTGCAGTCTGCTGTCAGACAGCAACCCTCCAGGTTCCTCCTCCAGGTTCCTCCTCTCTGCAGTCTGCTGTCAGACAGCAACCCTCCAGGTTCCTCCTCCAGGTTCCTCCTCTCTGCAGTCTGCTGTCAGACAGCAACCCTCCAGGTTCCTCCTCCAGGTTCCTCCTCCAGGTTCCTCCTCTCTGCAGTCTGAAGGTTTCTACAGGAATCTCTCACTGGTTTATAGTTTATTACTGAAACATGGAGGGCATTGTTATTTTACTGGCTGTACAGAACATTGTGCTTTGTGGAGCTGCTCCCTTTAACGCCTCCTCCTCTGCTCTGTCCCTGCAGGAGGTGTGATCTCCTACGTGGGTTCGTGCGGAGGCTCTCCAACCCGGCCCAGTCCAGTGTCCATGTACAGCGAGAACTCCAACTCCCAGCCCTGCTTCTCCTCCTCCTCCTCCTCCTCCTCCTCCTCCTCGTTAACTCCCTCCTTCCTCAGCAGCAACAGCAGCTCCAGTTCGGGCTCCGCGGGAGAAGATGGCTCCTCCTCGGCCTCCTCCTCGGCGGGAGGTTCGCCTCGAGGCCGAGACGACGGAGGCTCTCTGAGGGTGTCGCCCAGCCAGTCTGTGGCCAGTCTGACCAGTAAGAACCATTATCACTGATTGTAACCACAAACAAACATGGCCGACACTGTAACTGTAAAATAACGGTAATGTTCCAGCAGCCAAACAATAACTCAGAGAAACACACTGATTCTCTAACATTAAATTACAGTTTTTAGTTTTAATTTTACATAATGTTTGATTAAAGATATTTACAGTGTAAACAATGATCTATAAATCCAGGTGAACTCTGCTATAATACAATAATCAGATTACATTTACAGCAGAGTGCTGTTATTATTGGATTGTTATTATTTTAATGTGAATGTTAAAAGTTATAGAAGTGTAATAAAAGTCATTATCTGTGAGATTACAGTAATTATTGCTGTTTACACTGATAACAACTGTATTTGGACAGTTTACCTTATACACTGATAAACAACATTTATTCTACTTCCATCATTATACAACATATCTGTCAGTTCACTAACTAATACATTAAAATTACACAACTAATACTTTTACTGTTAATGTCACTGATTTTATATAATGTTAGAAATGTATTGACAGTCTAAACTTGAATTTAACTGTTTAATTTATTAAATAAACAATAAATATCTGTGAAAATATTATAGATTTGCAAAATGTATTCTAATCTTTTTATGTGAAAAAAGAATAAATACATTAAAAAGTACAGATAAACGCTGTAAACGTACAGATTTGTTTTACAGTGCAGGTTGAGATACTGAATGATAAACTGTCCTCTGAATAAAAACGTTTACAGTAGTAAATAGTCACAGAATAAATATATGAATCATTTATTTGACACAAAGTCTCAATGGAGGTGATTTTTAAAGGAGGTCTGGTTGATAGTCGACTTTACAGCAACGTGAACCCACAAATGTTCAGAGATGTTC